TCCAACAGAGGCTTTAGCCCAGCAGCTCTTGCAGTAAAGTATCATGAGTTCTGCCTGAAATGTCTCAACAACTTTTAGATCGGTAATATAAAAGTTTTAAGCCGAACCATGAACAACAGGTGTGACGCTACCTGGAGCGTGGAGCTCAGTCCTCACTGGTTCAGATCCTCCAATCAGAGCCGAGCTCCCAGAATCCTGCTGTGCATCAGGGTCTGTAGGACACACACACATACAGTGAGCTTTACCCACACTGAAATTCTGCATACACACATATACAGTATATATACACACACATACAGTTATGGTTGTACAGGATGTGGGGTTTTCCTGACGGTGCGATGAAGGAAATACTTTTTTATTTTCCTTCATAAACTTTGAGTTTCAGCACAAACAAAAGAAGAGGCTGAGAATAGAAGAGAGGACGTCTAACTTTAGATACATCGTAAACACTGGAGTTTCCCAGCACCCCCCCCCCACACACGCACGCACGCACGCACGCACGCACGCACGCACGCACGCACGCACGCACGCACGCACGCACGCACGCACGCACGCACGCACACACACACACACACACACACAGTCTCTAGACTTCAGTTCCTGAGCGATACTCCTTTTTGTATAAATGCACTCCTGTAGAGATAAATATAGGATGAATGTGGGGTCGACTAAAACAGATTTTTTTCCCACGCAAGTTTCAGTTTTTTATCACTAAGCAGAATAAGATAAGATAAGATAAGATAAGATGGACCTTTATTAATCCCCGTGGGGAAAATCAGTTGTTTAAACAGCAACAGGGTAAGGAGATATATTTGTCTTAATATTATGTGTGTGCACAGATCAACAACCCGTGTGTAAATGTATAATCTACAAATGCAAAAAAAGATTTGTAAAGTCCAAACACAATTTAGCAAATACGTTTAAATGGATCTGAAATACAAACATATTCCTGCCTTATTGATTTACAAATATAAGCTTTTAGAACGTTTTAAATGTTAGAAACATGTTCACAAATGCAAAACATTTTTTTTGCAATTATTAGGTTAAAATAGATTACATTTTCAGATGAGTTTCTGACATAAATGGGAATTTTTTCCTTTTTGATTTGAGTGAATTTGTGAATTTCTCCTCCTTCTTGTAATTTTATTGTTGTTTTTTGTGAGTTTTCTTTTGATTATTTGGGGGTTTTTTTCTCCCAAAAGTTACATTTTAATCTGGGAAATGTGTGATTTTTTGTTGTTGTGTACACATCAGGTAAATACAGATCTGCTGACCCACCTGTGGCCTCACAGTCGGGTCCTCCGTATCCCGGGCAGCAGCGCCACAGCAGAGCGCTCACAATCTGCTGCTTCTGCCTGTAGAGCGGCCGGGACGACAGTTTATACCTGCACGCACACACACACACACACACACACACACACACACACACACACACACACACACACACACACACACACACACACACACACACACACACACACACACACACACACACACACACACACACACACACAAACAAAACACCTCAAATTGAATTTCAAAGCTCAAAACATCCCTGAAATAGGAAACAGCTGCTGGTGTCAGGTCAGAATTAAAGGAATATTCATCTAATAAATTATCATTTTTGAAATTCAATAACCTTGGATTTAGCTTTTTTTATGGCTGTTTACAGTTTCTGATTTATAGAGTGATACAAAGAGACATCCAAAAACCCCTTTATCTCTCTGTTCTGGAATAGTTATATCTTTGAGTTACATTATTACCCTATTCACCTGTAGTGTGTACAAAAGGTATGAATTTTACAAAACATATTGTTTAAAGGTAGTTTTCTCTCACAGAAATACCATAATAAATCCCCCAATAATACGAGATATAGAAATATAATACAAGAAGAAAAAAACTATAAACATATGTACAGGAAAAATTATTATAGAATATAAGAAAAATGCAATAGAATATGAAACAAATCCTAAAAATATTTTAAAACATAGACGAGCTACGAATAAATGGTATACATATTTTTGTTGTTGTTATTGTTGTGTACTCACATGATCAGATGACAGTCGGGGGTGCGGCTGGGACACGGACTCTGAGACTGGATGGTGTATTTCTCTGTTCCACACACCACTGCCGTGGACACAACGCGCCTCTGAACAAACGCACACCAGTTCCTGCACAACACATAGACATGGACTCAATTTGAAACAATAAAAATGTAATAATAATGACAAAACGTGTTTTATAAAAAGAGCAACTATTTTGGGATTATTTTATACTTTAGTTTTAAATACAATAAAGCCAGCCACACGGTGAGGTCTCCCAGAGCCACACGGTGAGGTCTCCCAGAGCCACACGGTGAGGTCTCCCAGAGCCACACGGTGAGGTCTCCCAGAGCCACACGGTGAGGTCTCCCAGAGCCACACGGTGAGGTCTCCCAGAGCAGCTGTGGTGAATAAAGCCAACTGTAAACACATGTGTGTTAGTGTGCGTGTGTGTGTGTGTGTGCGTGTGTGTGTGTGTGTGTGTGTGTGTGTGTGTGTGCGTGCGTGCGTGCGTGCGTGCGTGCATGCGTGCGTGCGTGCGTGCGTGCGTGCGTGTGTGTGTGTGTGAGGTGACAGGGTTACAGACGTCAGATGAGGTGTGTTTGGTGTTGTGACGGGGTCCCCCTGTTGACCCTCTGACTCACCACAGACCATATGTCCAGTGTGTGTGCGTGTGTGTGTGCATGTGTGTGTGTGCGTGTGTGTGTGTGTGTGTGTGTGTGTGTGTGTGTGTGTGTGTGTGTGTGCGTGCGTGCGTGCGTGCATGTGTGTGTGTGTGTGAGGTGACAGGGTTACAGACGTCAGATGAGGTGTGTTTGATGTTGTGACGGGGTCCCCCTGTTGACCCTCTGACTCACCACAGACCATATGTCCAGTGTGTGTGCGTGTGTGTGTGTGTGTGTGTGTGTGTGTGTGTGTGTGTGTGTGTGTGTCAGGGCAGGAGAGCCTAGAGGGGTTTTTACTTCATGGTTAAAGAAGTTTCAACACACTTACATATTTTACCACTTAAATATTCATTGGATGCTTTCCCACTAAACAAGAGGGGAGGCAAAGCCTGGGGATTCTTCTTGGAAAGTCACATTACTGCAAAGAGACGCAAACCAACCCAAGGACACAGAGATACAAATCCATCACAGACAATTGCAAAATGATCACAAAAAGATGCAAAACCACCATAAAGCGTTGGAAATGTACACAAATGATACAATAAAGTGACCCATAATGTCCACCAAAGATACAAAACCATCGAAAATGTACGCAAAAGCACTGCAAAATTATCCAAATAATATCACATTCAGAAATGTTAAGTTGTTTACTCGTTATTACTCTTATTTGCTTTCTGTTTGTTTCTGTTGGCGATTATCTCGTTTGTGACATGCCTTTTTGACCCTGCATTGTGTGTGTGTGTGTGTGTGTGTGTGTGTGTGTGTGTGTGTGTTTCCCGTAATGTTGATGTTGGACTGTTTGTCTCAGCACTTCCTGTCAGCTTGTATCAGCAGCTCCACTTTTAACAAACACATAAATCGGTTAAACAAAACAACCTCATTTAATCTCTCTTTTCATTCACGCTATAATCTCTTTAAAACCTTTACATATTCTTCTTCTTGAAGCAGAGCGTGCACACACACATTTATGCAACCATGTGTGTTTTCGGGACCTTCCACATCTTATGAAACCACTTTGAAGTTGATCCCCTTTTCACATTTATCTCAATCCGATGAGTGTGCAAGTTCATCATGAAAGTTCAGTTTCCTGCAAACAGACAATTCCGCCTGGAGTTCAATGCATGCAGAACGACCACCCAGAAACACAAAATAAGCACAAAGAGATGTGCTACTACAAAGACATGCAGAACAACCACAAAAACAAAAACTAAAAATGACTAAATAAGTTGCAAAACAACCATCTTTTACTTCTCTTGTTGGGGTCGCAGGATTAGAAGAAGCAGGAAAGGCTGAAAATATTACACAAGAATAGAAATTCCTCTGACTCAGAAAAACCTTTGTGTCATATCCTGTGGAGAGGTGTGACATCACCGGACACACACACACACACACACACACACACACACACACACACACACACACACACACACACACACACACACACACACACACACACACACACACAGGAAGTTCCTCCTCATCCTGAGTTCTTTCATGCAGTTCAAGAGAGATGAGAGATTTTCTGGGGCAACATGAGAGAGTTACTCTTTGATCTTTAGATTGAATGTGTCCCGTCAGACTGAACTCTTACCATCTAAAGCCTTTTCTCTTTCTCTTCATGTGACGCAGCTTAAACTCAGATATTCCTCTGCCTTCATTTAACCTGAGGAAATATAGGCAAGCATCGCAACTCAAGTGTGAGAAAAGGCAACGTCCCATGACACTCGACTAAAAAGCCATTTCAGTCAGACAACTCAGGTGTTTCTTAATATGTTTATTAGAAGCAGCATATCGTTTGAGTTTGGCGTCTAGGCTCGGGCCTCATCACTCCACAGATTTACAAAGAACATTGAGTGATGATTAGATAACTATCCCCTAAGCCTACAGGTGGAAGCTGGGGTGGAAGCTGGGGTGGAAGCTGGGGTGGAAGCTGGGGTGAAAGCTGGGGTGGAAGCTGGGGTGAAAGCTGGGGCGGAAGCTGGGGTGGAAGCTGTGGTGGAAGCTGGGGTGGAAGCTGGGGTGAAAGCTGGGGTGGTGGTGGGGTGGAAGCTGGGGTGGAAGCTGGGGTGGAAGCTGGGGTGGAAGCTGGGGTGGAAGCTGGGGTGAAAGCTGGGGTGGAAGCTGGGGTGAAAGCTGGGGCGGAAGCTGGGGCGGAAGCTGGGGTGGTGGTGGGGTGGAAGCTGTGGTGGAAGCTGGGGTGGAAGCTGGGGTGAAAGCTGGGGTGGAGCTGGGGTGGAAGCTGGGGGTGGAAGCTGGGGTGGTGGTGGGGTGGAAGCTGGGGTGGAGCTGGGGTGGAAGCTGGGGTGGTGGTGGGGTGGAAGCTGGGGTGGAGCTGGGGTGGAAGCTGGGGTGGAAGCTGGGGTGGAAGCTGGGGTGGAGCTGGGGTGGAAGCTGGGGTGGTGGTGGGGTGGAAGCTGGGGTGGAAGCTGGGGTGGAAGCTGGGGTGGAAGCTGGGGTGGAAGCTGGGGTGGAAGCTGGGGTGGAAGCTGGGGTGGAAGCTGGGGTGGAAGCTGGGATGGAAGCTGGGGTGGAAGCTGGGGTGGAAGCTGGGGTGGAAGCTGGGATGGAAGCTGGGGTGGTGGTGGGGCAGGCGAGCAGCAGCAACATGAAACACAGCAGCAGGAACATGAACGTAGCAATAGCAAGTGAACACAGCAGCAGCAGCAGCAGCATGAGCGAGGCAGAGGCAGGAAGACCTGGCAGCTTCAATAGAGCGGCATGTTTAGGAGAATGTGTTTGGTTGGTTGTAAGAGGGACGAGGTGCGTCACGTGTTAATGTATGATTGGTGCTCGAGTTGACTGCCTGAACTAGCTCGCAGGCTTTGCCCCATTTGTGATTCATCAATATCAGACAAATACAACGAATCAACACAAAAAGGGAAACTCAAGCTAAACTTTATCGTTTAATTTTTCTAAAATCAAGCACTCATCTATTCATAAAATGCAAATGTTTTCCCTATTTTGTTTATTATTTTTAACATTTTTTGAAGCCCTTATTTTACTTGAAAAGAGAAAAGAACATGAATCTATTCTTTAAATTGAACTTAATGAGGGATGCATTTATTAGCTGAAAATCTATATGAAAACATGAACTCAGTCTTGTACTCACTACGACTCAAACACATGCGTTTAAAATAAAATAAATAAATCATTTAAATCACTTCTAGTCCAGTGCAGGCACGATTTTAGTCCATTTATGGAGACATTTTTTAAATATTTTACTAAAAAGCATACATGTGTTTTATATATATTTTTTAAAAGATAGTTTTTCAATAGCTTCCATGTATAAAGACCCAGTGACTCCTAATGCAGCATTGTATTACTATACTGGACAAGTGTCTTCCATGTTTGTGAGAATTTTTAACAATCTAATGTTGTTGTTTTGTTTGCCTGTTCCCAAACTCCCATAATCCCCAAAGCTCTCCGGGCTAAACGTAGCTTAATGCAGTTTAATGATAATGAAATCCCACCTGCATGATTTTCAGTCTGATACCAACATCGCCGCCTTTAAGAAGTTTGATCCATTTCCTTTTTTTTGCTGAGTGTCCTTGACTCCTTTCATCTGCCAGCTGTGTGTCTCCTGATTACGGCTGAATGAGCAGTAAACGATGCCTTCATGGTCTCGTTATCTGCAGCTCCAGCTCGCTTTGATCCAAATCCCTCTGCTCACTGAGCTTCTTCTGTTCAAGTTGGATGAACTTTTACTTTGAAAGGGTTTCAGTGAGGTCTTCGATTACAGAGAAAAAGTGACCTAAAATAAAGAGCTTTTTGAACATTAAAGCATGGAGACGTGTCACAGTAGAGGGACGAAATACAAATATGAACCTGAACATTAGTATAATAGGGTCCCTTTAATTTGAATAGGGACAATGCACAAAAAACAACAACTTTATATTCATCAAGGAGACATGTAGTTGGGTTTTCTGATTATTTATAAGAATAAATAAATCTAATAATAGGAACATTTTAAAAGAAAAAGTACAAAATACTGAAGTCAAACCAACTAAAACAAACACCTTCACCACAGAGCTTCTTTGAGTTCCATCGAGAGCTCAGATCTCGTCTTCCCGCAGCCCAAAAACAAACTTTCTCCACCTCCACTTCATCAGCACTTAACTACCTGTTGACCTCTGACCTCTGAAGCATGGACCCCGTCCTCATGATAACGCTGAGGCTAAAAACAACAGAGCTAACATGCTCTCCATTAATGCACAAAGAGCTGCGTTTGTGAACGATGACGGTCATTAAAGCAGCTGTTTTAAGTGGTGGGGGGGGGGTGTTTGGGGGGGAGAGGCTAATGGAGGCTTGTTTTGTTAAAAGCCCTCAGGGATCATTTGTATCAAACAATCTGTGAACGAGTGCTGCAGTTTAATGTATGTTTCAGAAAGATGACGGAGGCCTGTATGAGCGCGTTAGACATCTAATCCTCTTATTTAGTCTCTGACACATATCTAAAAAAAATGTGTATAGACTGGTGCAGGGATGACGTGTTTTTGTGAAGCGACGCTGAACTTAGCATCTCCCTGGTTCCCTCCAAAAAAAACGAATGGGATTTTCAGCAGGAAATATTTAGCGTATTAACACCATTTTATGATTTTTGAAGTAAAAAGCTAACGTTATATAGGAACTACAGCACGGTCACATGACTTCGTCTCACCACCGCTAAGTTAAGGTGGCTAATATTTACGGTGATAACGTTTAGAAGTCTCATTTTGATGCCATTTTTTTATTCACCAGTGGGGTATTTACTGACGTACATTAGGTCGTAGAAAAACATTACATTCTCATCAGCTTGTGTTAATCACAGACCCTATCTAACCCTAATCCATTGACTTTCAGATGAAGGAACACAAACAAAAACAGCTGACTTATTGCATGGCTTTTAAATCATCTCGTTATGCTAATCAGCCAATCAAATCTGTGCATTTTGATAAGCATTGTTACTCAAGAGTCAGATCCTAACACAGACAAAAGCGACTTTACAAATAGTCTAAAAAGAGTCAACATAGAGGCAAAACAACGATAGGCTGTTACAAACTGTGTGTTGGTGTAATACCTGGAGGGCAAGCGTAAAGAGGATACCCTCAGTGTGTCTGGGTGTCATAAAATCATAAAATGAATGTGTGGCGTCTGGGTTGTGTGTGTGTGTGTGTGTGTGTGTGTGTGTGTGTGTGTGTGTGTGTGTGTTTTTTTTTGTGTGCAGCCTGGGTGGTACCATCCCATTATAAGCATGCTGGCAGTCAAAACATTTAAAGGCTCCCTGCTTGGTATTTCTGTATGCATTACACATCAGACTCGGACATTTTGCACATTCCTCACTTTTCTATGAGGGTTCATGCTTGGTTTTAGGGGTAAAGATGAGAGAGCGAAGTCGAGATTATGCAGTGGAGGGTGCTAACTCATTATATATGATATATAAGGCATCTACAAGCTTGGCGTACAGTATGTGTACTTTACTTGAGTATTTCTATTGTCGCAAGTTCTATTGTTCGTATTTGCAAGCATTTTATGAGGGATTTATGGAACGTTTTTGAAATGTTGACATTAATAATAATAATAATAGCTTGGATTTATATAGCGCCTTTCATGAGACCCAAAGTCGCTTTACAAAGAAGAACAGGGGCAAAACAAACATAACAAAACAAAAGGCAGTCAGACAACCAGTCAGACAGGCAAAACAACAAATAGATTAAACGTATGTGTGGCTTTGCAGAAACGTTCAATGGCAACATATTTTCTGATGACTTGGTTGATATGATGGGGTCATTCAACATAATGACTATACTTTTTGGACTTGTTGTACTTTTACTTAAGTAAGATTTTGAAGGAATTAAACCAAGAGAATGATGTTCAAATACCAAGATGGTGAGGGCAGAAAACAAAGATGTCTACGACCAAAATACGAGATGGCAAAAGATGGCGACGCCCAATAACAAAGATAGTGAACACCTCAAACTGAAGCTCCTTTCCTTATCATCTAGTCTAGAGAATCCAAACAGCTGTTATCACGGCTGCCTCTTAGGTACTTCCGGGTCATTTCCCTCCATTAGGAACCTTCCTATATGCAAAATTGACAATTCGAACGCAACCCAAGATTGTGACGATCAAACTCAACTCAAGGCATCAAAACCATCGTCCACAAACCAATGTGTTACGTCCATTTCTGATACACATGCAATGGTTCCTGACCTTTCCCCCGTGATAAAACATGGTTAAAAGTGTGATGATAGACCTGGCTATACAAGACTAAATCTGCAAAGCTGCAAATGTACACTGGTCCAGGTGTTAAATATGCATGTATCTTTCTCAATGGGTTGAGAGCAGAACAAATAGACACTATTTCAGGCATCCAACCCTAACTCATTGACTTTGAGAGGAAGAAACAAGAAGTGCTTTTTAAATAATCTCATGTGACGTTCACTATAATCAATACAGAGGCGAACAAATAGACTTTTACATTTTTCACATTGGTTGTTCATCCCTGGTCTAGAAGTTTAGCTAAACTGTTATTTATTGCAGATGAGATGTTTAAGTCTGACCACAGAGCCCTGCAGCTACAGGTTTATTCAACTTCGCACATAAAATAAAGCACTGTAGTTAAACACTACAAGAAAAGCAGAACATGTACATATTAGTCAAGGTGTTAAATATTTAATTTAAATGATTAGGTGACTTATCTTACTTTCCACTACATCACAAAGCTTCCTTAAGTTTGAACTGTTTAAATCTCAGCTGAAAACTCACCTCTTTGCATTGGCTTTTAAGTTGAACATAACGTTTTTACATTTCTATGACTTTTGATATGTTTTCAATTATTATTTTATTATTTTACTCCCATTGTGTTATTTTATATTGTATTTATTGCCTGTACAGCACTTTGGTCAACTGAGGTTGTTTTAAATGTGTTATATAAATGAATAATGATTGAGATTGAGATTGAGTGCATGCATCTTTCTGAAAACGGGTTAAAATCACTCAAAGAAAACACAAAAGCTGGCGTTCAGGATGTGTCTTGACTCACCCGGTTCGGGCTGGGTAGTTTCCTCTATCTCCCAAAGGGGGAGTCTCTGTCACTCCTGGGAGAAGCCTCTCTATCAAGGGAGGGTACACTCCTCCTCCTCCTCCTCCTCCTCCTCCATCTCCTCTTCCTCCTCCTCCTCTTCCTCCCTGCTCCTCTGCGTCCTCGGGGTCTCTTCCTCTCACCTCACAGTGAGCGCTCACCAGTAAGCCCAGCACCAGCACCAGTTCTCCCACTGCAGTCATGTCGGCTCCACATCAGCGAGTGCAGGGGAGCACCACCAGCAGCTGCATTTAAACAGGAGGAAGAGGGGGGGGGGGGGATAGGGGAGGCCACTCCTCCTGCTTCCTCTGCCACCCCCTCTCTCTCAACAGACTTCTTCTCTGACTGCTTTGTATTTGTAATAACACAACCCCAGGAGGATAAAGTATCATCATTGAAGTATTACACATCGCTGCTGTGCAAAAATCGACACTTTAGTCTGTTGCCAAAAGGCAAAAAGGAAGAGATGTTTTCAGAGACAGCCAGATAGTGTTAATCTAGTCTGAAAGAGCACGTTATTTAACTTCTGCTGGGTCCAGGCGAGTGAAAACTGTATCAGCCAGAGTGTGACTTTTGATCCATACCCTGTGAAATGAAACTTCCCAAGTTTATTACCCACACTTTATATGACAAGTGTTGAAAAGTTAGGTTTAAAATGCAAATGACCTTCTCTTGTTGAATATGTGCTCATTTACATGCCAGAACAGAAATGTGAAAATTGGATAAAGCCAGGTTAAAAATTCTTGTTTCATTTTCATTTAGTCAAAGGTTTTTATAAAGAGGGTTCTCTTTGCATCACTGCACGAATCAAAACATATGTCAAAAGCCATACACATAATACATCTTGCTCCATAAATCAGATTGAAAAAACCTGTTACTTATTAAAGTACAAAGGTATTAGCAGAGACATATTATTGAAGTAGCAAAAGTAAAAGTACTCTTTCATATTGTTATATAATTAATATGTTCATCACTTTAATGTTGTGTCTGGAAAAGAAGGATCTTATTGTAATTACTTTATTTATACTACTGGTTAGATTTGATCTGTAAGAACACATCATAATTTATTCATTGATTTACATTGTATATTAATAATCTGAATCCTAAAAAAAATGATATTAGTAAAATATTTGAGTGTAAATGAGGCGACACAGGTTTCACTTCTCTCGCCTTCTGTCTTCATCCTGTTTCTGTGGAAGTGATAAGAACAGAGGACATCCAGGAGGTGTGTGTGTGTGTGTGCGTGCGTGCGTGCGTGCGTGTGTGTGTGTGTGTGTGTGTGTGTGTGTGTGTGTGTGTGTGTTACCAAATGTTGTTCATATCTTTAGATATTGAACAATGACAAGTTCAGAGATACCAATGCATTTTGATTAAGAGAATTTGAGATCTTGGGAGGCTGTGGCGCAGTGGACTAGTGCGTTGGTGTTCGGATCAGGGGGGCACAGGTTCAAACCCCACTGCAGTCAGCATGTCGTTGTGTCCCTGAGACACTTCACCCCAAATTGCTCCTGTGGGGGATTGAGTATGTAAGTCGCTTTGGATAAAAGCGTCTAACAAGTGACATGTAATGTCATGTAACTTGGGATCTTATAATCATTTTGCATCTTAATCATAACATTTTGTTTTTGGCTCCATGGCTCACCATTGGGTGTCAGTTTTTGCCAAGTTTGGACACCCCTGTACGAGCTTATTCTTAATGAACTTGCCAAGTTAATTAGTTTCAAACCAGTTGTTCGAAACTGGATTACCTTTTGGGCTTGGAGTTCATTCATTCTTGACATTTGAATGACAAACACAGACAATCAGGGACAGTTTTATTCCAAAGGTCGGAAGACAGTCAAACTTACATCCATTCATCTGTACACCTGTTACTTCCATATTCATACATGATCTAATTATACAGTATTTATTTTACTTGAGAGTATTTCATTTCACATTCTGTTTATGTTATTCTATTTGATATATTTTCTTATTCCTACAACTTGTTTGCCCCATTAGGGTCTTTTGTTTTATGTCTTCTTTATTTCTTTGTTAGATATATTGTATGTTGCTAGTTCACGAACGATCCGATTCTTTTGAACAGCTCTTTGGTATGAATGAAGGGAACCGAGTCGTACTTGGTGAGAGCCGTTCTTCTGTGGTACAGGTAGACGATGTGTTTTTCGGGTGAAAAAATGAGCCTAACGCGAAAACGCAGCAGCATTTGGATGCACTTCAACACAAACATAGGCAATGATAAAGCAGAGTGCAACATTTGTAAAGCCAAAATGTCATTTAAAGCAGGGTCAACAAATAATCTCCACCGCCACTTAAAAAAAAACGGCTCTTTTGAACGGCTCTCGGAAAGGACCGGAGCCATAAGATCCGGTCCTTTCCGAGAGCCGTAATTCCCATCCCTACATGTTGGAGGAGTTTTGGACTTCATTGCCAAAACCACACTGTATCTATTGTACATGTAACAATAAAGCCTTTGAATGTTAAAATAATGTGGAAACACGCCTGAAGTTTATTGGTAACAGGTGTCTCAGTCGTGGCGAGATGTCTCACTCGGACATTTCTATCCCGTCCCTCGTTGTTTTCATTTGAATAATCACAACATTTGAGCGGATTAAAGTCACTTTAAGTGAGCTGAAGGAGAGCGTAGCGAGGGAGGCTGACAGTTCCTGTGCAGGCTGAAAGAGCCAAGACTTTTCCACAGGGAGAGGGGGGGTTGGGTGGTGGTCATTTCCGAGGATTGTTTTAAGGCTATGAGGAGGTGGGGGAGGAGGAGGGGGGGAGGTAGAAATGTGTGACAGAGAAAGAGAGAGTGTAGAAAGAGAGCAATGTCAAAGACACTACTGGAAATGAGTCAGCTTTCAAGCACTTTTGATTTCCTTGTCTTGATTCAATGTGGCTTTTTTAAATAGGATTGTGGTTACAAAATGTGGCTAACACAAGCTGAAGAACAAGCTGTTACCTGTCATAAAATGTCTGTCTAAATGAGAATACTCAACGTCATCACACGAACATTAGCCACCTTTAGCTTAGCAGCAGTGAGGTGCTGTCATGTGACCGTGATGTAGTTATTTTATATCCTAACATAAGCTTTTGTACTAAATCTAAATCATAAAAGTTGTTCATTTGTAGAGATTATCTTGCTGAAGAAAACACAAGACACAGACTTTCATTGAAAAATATTACATCACTTAATAGTCTTTATTTTAATACATGTTACATCAATTTCTTCTTGTGATTGACAACATGTTAACATTTAACTGTACAAGGTGTTTTAAACTACGGATACACAAAGGGACCATACGCTGAAGAATACATACAAGTTTCATAAATGTTTTGTAAATGATATGCTATTTGCAGACAGACGTAGACTTTCATTGAAAAATATTACATCACTTAATAGTCTTTATTTGTTATAGTTTATTTTACATGTTTGCTGTATTGGTGTATAAAAACAGAGAAGTAATTTTCATCAACATTGATCTCTGATAACGTAATAATATGATGAGTTGTGTGTCTTTTAAGAAGAAAAAAACAATTTCTTCTTGTGGTTGACAACATGTTAACATCTAACTGTACTGCTTTACAAAGGTGTGTCACAGTTAAACAAATTAGTTAACTACAGATACACAAACGGACCATCCCGGGTTAACACTCCCTATGACCACCAGACATGTATACACATCAAACTAAAGCAACTCACTGTATAAATTATCCAAATTGGCTCATGGCAAGCAAAGAGGGCCAAAACAAAGGAAGCAGCAACTCCACAAAAAGAAAGAGACATTAGAGAAGATGCTCAAAGGACCTGGGCACACCATACAGCTGTCTAAGAGAATACTAAAGATATCATGACTATATTTACTGTGTTGTCTCTTATGGCTCCATTCGGCAACCTTGAAAGGTATCAATAAAATGCATTACATTACATTACATGTCACTTGTTAGACGCTTTTATCCAAAGCGACTTACATACTCAATACTGTGGACAATCCCCACAGGAGCAATTTGGGGTGAAGTGTCTCAGGGACACAACGACATGCTGACTGCAGTGGGGTTTGAACCTGTGACCCCCTGATCCCAACACCAAGGCTCTATCCACTGTGCCACACGCCTCCCGCGTGCATGCATTATTATTATTCATTAGCTACTGTGTAAAGGTAAAAATACAGCTCTGATCTAGCTTTCACATATATACAGAAGAGCGCTATGAGGACTGCAAATCGATTACTTTGAACCAACCAATGCACAATGTAGGAGTCCAATGAATTGAAGGGTGGTGGAGTAGGGTTAGGGTTAGGGTTAGGGTTAGGGTTAGGGTTAGGGTTAGGGTTAGGGTTAGGGTTAGGGTTAGGGTTAGGGTTAGGGTTGCTTCGTTGTTAACAGCAGCTGGACGTAACGACTCCTGCTAGCTCCTGCTCGCCCAACCTGGAATACCTGATGATCAAATGTCGACTCTTCTATCTACCCCGGTCATTTACCCTGGTGATCTTTACGGCTGCTGGTATTCCATCAACGACCCATGGCCCAAACTACAGGAGTTTTAAGCAAATAGGCTTATCATGTTTTGATAGTAATACCTTACTTTTATGAACCCTAGTCCAACTAAAAGGGGGACTTTGATCTACTGTTATTCCCTGATAAGAATGACTACATGGCAATTTCCCAACCCCCATTTTGAGAATTCAGACATGGCCACCAATTACCTCCATGTTAAATATAAACAAACATGAGGCCACGTTGACAAGAGTGAAGTAGAATTGGACGCTAATGTTTTTATAAGGTTCATCAGCAAACAGTGGATGGATCAAACCTTCTGTGACTCACTAAAGAGATTGACTCAGGAATGGCTACTAGGATCATGGAGTTCAGGAGAGCGTCTTTCAAAAAGTCCACTTTTGCGCGTAGAATCACAACCACCAGAGGAAATTGTGATGAGCGCTTTAACCCTTACTTTAATCTGCTCCTCCATTCCCACCAAGGACACTCTTCAGTTTGTGTACCGATCAAGTGGTGACGCCAGAACTGACTCCCTGCACACTGCCCTTACCCATCTGGACAAGTTATCATGAAGCCGCTAAAGATAAACTACTTCACTAAGGCCCTCTCTTTCCTGCGAAAAGACACTGCATGGTCTCCTGATTTTCTCTCCATCCTGCAGAGAACAGAGAGACACCGAGGAACCAGACCAAACTGTGAACCCAGGATAAAGAGGTTCAGTGAATGTGGTTCTGAAGGTGTGAATGTGGGTCAGGGTGTCAGAGGAGACGCTGTAGAAGGACAGCGAGCCAGCAGGATAATCCAAATACACTGCCAATCTGTCAGAGATCAATGAGGGTGATGAGGAGGGGTGGGATGAGGAGGGGCAAGAGTAAACAGCGCTTGGGAAGGAGTAGTAGAAAGGAGAGGAGGAGAGCATTTCAGTCTTATTGTGACAGAAGGAGTAAGGACGACTGTCAAAACAGTCCAGACTCCAGGACTGATCATTCTCCCCAAACCTGCAGTTTTCCCTGTCTCCTCTCCTGCTGATTCCTCTGTAACTCAGAGATATATAAGCCCTTCCTGTCCACTCGACCTCCCAGTAACAGCGACCAGTCAGAGCATTTTCACACATCAGCTGAGGCCAGAAATCAAATCTGTTTGGATGATCAGGATATGGCTCCTCCTCTTCTACATGTGTCACCTTCCTGTTGCTCTCACACAGTTTGAGGTTTCTGTTTACTGTGTTTGTGTCGATTGTGAGTTCACAGGAATCTGAAGAGAGAAACGGAAGAAAAAAAAACAGCAGCAGTTATTAACCTCAGTTTGTAGATGGTTGCTGCTTTCTTTTGATAAATAAAACTAAAACAAACTTACACTTCCTCAAGCCTTGTCTCAACCATCGGACTCCACCAGGCTCGACCCTAAAAGGATGAGGAGGGGGGTACATACTATATCAGGGCTCAACGCTAACTTTTAAAAGTGGCTGCCAGGCTGGCAACCAGGCATCAGCTTTTGGTTGCCAAAACTGAAAATACGGTTGCCATTTTTAGTCACCTTATATTTTAAATAATTAAGATACTATACAGATATACATCAACTTCATAATGAAAATGTGACACAAAAGAATGTTCAAATGCTTTACAATAAGTAATTAACACAATTATTTGAAACTAAAGTGGTAGTAAACTTGTCCACCCTCAATTGCTGGTATACAAAATACCAGTAGTGCAGCTGCTGTCATGTTCTTCACAGATCCCCCAAAAATGAATTGAGCAAGTCACTAGTTTCGTCATCCGTTGTCTCCCTTTCAAATTTGGGTTTTCTTGACCTTTGTGCTGACCCCCACCATAGATCCACTGGCCCTTCAGCATTGAAGTCTTGGATTGGCCAGACTAATATATTTATAATGTTAAATAAATGAAAAGCATTCACAGTTAATAATTAGATATTAATTATTAATGCTGTAAATTACCTTTAATATGTCTAACTATATTTAAAATGTGTTACCTTTTTATAGAAGTGATTATATTTGTATGCCAATATTTTCCTATGGTAAAGTTTTGTTTTGCACTTTTATTTTGGTAGTAATAAGATCGGGACTCTTATTTTGAAGGAACTTTTACCGGAGGTGAATGCACAACGGAGCTGAATGTACATATATATTTCGCCTCCCAAGACTTTACACATTTCCTCTTTGCTTTTCGTTCGGGTTCATCTTGCGCTTTATCAGTTGAATCACTTTGATCATTCGTTTGAGATGTTGACGGGTTGGCCGAACTTTTTACCCCACAGTCAAACAACTTAATTTGCTTCGCCATTTTTTGTAAAACAAACACACCACGCACGCAAGTAAACGTGCATCGCTTTCTGGCTCCGTAATCACACCAATGCACGTGCAACTTAAGTATCAGGTTCCGACTGGTCACAACAATAATTATCACTCTTAATACAACAAATAATTAACATTTATCTATTTTGGGGTGCACATTTTGCTGTTTGCTGTCCTTATTTCTTCATGTTAAAAAGTGGTTGCCACTGATGGCAACCAAAGGCCAAGAAGTGGTTGACATTTTTTCTGAATGGTTGCCAATGGCAACCTGGCAACCGTTACTGTCGAGCCCTGTATATGTATACATATTTGAAATACATTCCACGTGTAAATACACCGATCAGGCATAACATTATGACCACTGACAATGATTATCTTGTTACAATGGTACCTGTCAGTGGGTGGGATATGTTGGACAGCAAGTTCATACTTTGTCCTCAAAGTTGATGTGTTGGAAGCAGGAAAAATGGGCAAGCGTAAGGATTGTGAGCGACTTTGACAAGGGCCAAATTGTGAACGCTAGACGACTGGGTCAGAGCATCTCCAAAACTGCAGCTCTTGTGGGGTGTTCCCGGTCTGCAGTAGTCAGTACCTACCAAAAGAGGTCCAAGGAAGGAAAACGAGTGAACCGGCAACAGGGTCAAGGGCGGCCAAGGCTCATTGATGCACGTTGGGAGCGAAGGCTGGCCCGTGTGGTCCGATCCAACAGAAGAGCTACTGTAGTTCAAATTGTTGAAACAGTAACGGACCGTCCACACAGCAGCGTTAAAAAATCTTGGAACGCTTCTGCCCATTCACTTTGAATGGGGTGACATCACTTTGCCTCACTTTTCGCCGAACTGCATTGTGGGCAGCAGAGCGGAGATTTTCAGGATTTTCAGGATTCAAAGTTGAGCAATATTCAACTTTTGAAGCTGAGGTGGAAGCGTCAGCCAATCAAATCCCGTGTATGCAAATCTGACAGTTCAAGCGCTAGCCAATCAAATCGCGTGTATGCTGGGAGAGACATACCGCAGGTCATTTCCTCATATTCCAAAAAATGGAGGAGAAATTAGCGGTAGGGAATCACCCGGTGCTTTATGACCAGTCCCTATTTAACTACCGGGATATAAACCGGAGGAGCCAGGCATGGAGGGAGGTGGCAGAGACAGTGGTAGGTTTTCGCCTGTTTGGGGAGTTTATATCCAGTTTACTTCAAACTTTTTAGCTTTGTATGTCGGGGGCGGGAGATTCATGTGATTGGTTGTTGGTGCCTTGCTCGCAAAAAATCCCCAAGCTTCAGATACGCCCACCTCCAAGATTTTTTTAACGCTGCTGTGTGGACGGGCCGTTAATGTTTCATCGCAGTTTGTTGCGTATGAGGATGCATAGCCGCAGACCGGTCAGGCTACCCATGCTGACCCCTGTCCACTGCCGACAGCGCCTACAATGGGTACGTAAGCATCAGAACTGGACCACATGGAAGAAGGTGGACTGGTCAGATGAATCACGTTTCTTTGACATCATGTGGATGGCCAGGTGAGTGTGCATCGCTTACCTGGAGAAGACATGGCACCAGGACGCACTATGGACTATGGAGGCAGTGTGATGCTTTGGGCAATGTTCTGCTGGGAAACCTTGGGTCTTGCCATTCATGTGGATGTTACTTTGACATGTACCACCTACCTAAACATTGTTGCAGACCAAGTATACCTGCTCAGGGCTGTTTGGCTGCAAAAGGGGGACCTACACAATATTAGGCAGGTGGTCATAATGTTATGGCTGATCGGTGTATATATATATATATATATATATATATATATTAGGGCTGTCAGTCGATTAAAATATTTAATCGCGATTAATCGCATGATAGTCCATAGTTAATCGCGATTAATCGCAAATTAATCGCACATTTTGTATCTATTCTAAATGTACCTTAGAGGGATATTTTTCAAGTTTTTAATACTCTTATCAACATATGAGTGGACAAATATGCTTTATATGTTTGTTTATTATCATTTGAACAATGACAAATATTCTCATGAATATTAAACACAACAACCTCTGAACATTACAAATATTCACCTCAATTCAACCTGGAACCTCTCTCATACAATAATACAATACAAAGTGTGTGTGTGTGTGTGTGTGTGTGTGTGTGTGTGTGTGTGTGTGTGTGTGTGTGTGTGTGTGTGTGTGTGTGTGTGTGTGTGTGTGTGTGTGTGTGTGTGTGTGTGTGTGTGGAGACACTGTGATGGATCGTTGGAGCTACAGTATGTGCAGCTCAAGGCATATATGCTCGAATGGGAGCTGCCTGGACGCTGCAATCATGTTGCGCGTACTATCCGTGCTGAGTGTGCTGACTTTTCGTACAATGTCCCACTGTCTGGCTACCTGCATAAAGTCAAGTGCTCGGCGCAGTTGTCGGCGAAATGTCATTGAAACAGCTCCTTATATCCGTTAGCGCAGCTAGCTAGCACCAGATGCTAACAACAACAACACGTAAGGTGTGCCTCGCTCGCGCGAGTCGCCCCACACATACACACCCTCCCGGTCCTCCCGATGGCCAGTCCGGGCCTGCCGGTGAGCGTGGAAGTGTGGTCTGCCACAAGCGGGCGGCAGGTGCGGGGCTGTAAGCATCAGCTTGTAGATGGTATTTTAAACTCGATGCGCTCTGAAACTACGGGGCAGCGAGGACAAAAAATACACATGCGTTAATCGCGTTAAAATAATTAGTGGCGTTAATTTTTTTTTGCGTTAACGCGTTATTAACGCGTTAACTTGACAGCCTTAATATATATATATATATATATATATATATATATATACTGTATATACCTGAGAGTGTCCAGTCTCCAGTGTGGATCATCCAATCCAGCAGTCAGCAGCTTCACCCCTGAGTCTCCGAGATGATTGTAACTCAGGTCCAGCTCTCTCAGATGGGAAGGGTTGGAGCTCAGAGCTGAGGCCAGAAAAGCACAGCCTTCCTCTGTCGCCATACAACCTGACAACCTTCAAACAAACAAAATACACTGCATTACTGTCAGCTACTTTGGGGTTACATTGATATTAGTACTTTTCTTTTTTTTTTAATAACAACCAATACTCAGGAATGTCCATTTACAATCTGACAATATTACTGGACACTTTCTTCAAGTGGTAAGATCAAACATGTTGAAATCTGACCTGAGAGTTTCAAGAGCACAGTTTGGACTCTCCAGTCCACTAGACAGGAACTTCACTCCTGAATCCTGCAAATCGTTGTTACTCAGGTCCAGCTCTCTCAGACTAGAGGACTGTGAGCTGAGAACTGAGGACAGAGCTTCACAGCTTCTCACGGAGAGGTCACACGAATTGAGTCTAAAGGGACAACAATCAACAAGAACAACTCTGCATTTATCCTTTTAATAATGTATTATACCAAGCAACACACATATAAATATGAGAGAAAACAAGATGACCCTAAATCTGTTGCAATTATTGCATGATCTGATTATTTGAACTAACCACAATCATTTTGCATAATTGTAGGATTTAAATCCAATGATAAGAAATATGGCAAAAATGTAAGGTGAACAACGTTTATAAATAAAGTCGAATCAAGCCAAGCACAAGAAGAGAACAACAACTACTGTAAACTATGTAATTCCCAGGATCTAAAACCTGATAAAACACATCTGGTTCAAAAGTAATTTGAGTAGAAAAAAATCTAGGAATTCATGAATTCATCTAAATAGATTATTATTCAAAAGACAATCAGTTTAAAAACCCTAACCTGAGAGTTTCCAGTGTACAGTTTGGACTCTCCAGTCCAGCAGACAGCAACTTAACTCCTGAGTCCGGCAGGTCGTTGTTACTTAGGTCCAGCTCTCTCAGACTGGAGGACTGTGAGCTGAGAACTGAGGACAGAGCTTCACAGCTTCTCTCGGAGAGGTCACAGCCACTCAGTCTGATTAAGAGAAACAAGCAATATGTTGAAAAAGAAATGCAAAAAGTATTTCATTCTAGATATATGAATTCAACACCTTCGATACCTACAGAGCTTTGTTGGAGGCTTTGACCACTGGCAGCAGCCTCAGAAGAGCTTCCTCTGAAGCAGAGTATTTCTGCAGGTCAAACACGTCCAGATCTTTGTCTGATGACAGTAAGATGAAGACCAGAGCTGACCACAGAGCTGGGGAGAGTTTATCTCTGGAGAGACTTCCTGAACTCACAGACTGTTGGATCTGCTCCACTAGCGTACGATCATTCAGTTCATTAAGACAGTGGAAGAGATTAATGCTTCTCTCTGGAGACAGATCCTCATCCATCTTCTTCTTGATGTACTGGACTGTTTCCTGATTGGTCTCTAAGCTACTTTCTGTCTGTTTCATCAGACCTCGTAGGAGGGTCTGATTGGCCTGCAATGAAAGACCCAGGACGAACCGGAGGAACAAGTCCAGGCGTCCATTTGGACTCTGTACGGCCTTGTCCACAGCGCTCTGGTAAAGGTCTGTTAGCTTAGGTTTTACGTCAGACTTTTGGGAGGTTGTTTGATCTTCTGCCATTAGGTTGACACCAGAGTTGATGAATGTCAGATGGACATGAAGAGCAGCCAGAAACTCTTGAATGGTAAGATGGACGAAGCAGAACACCCTGTCCTGGTACAGTCCTCTCTCCTCTTTAAAGACCTGTGTGAACACTCCTGAGTACACTGAGGCTGCTGTAATATCGATGCCACAGTCTGTCAGGTCAGATTCATAGAAGATCAGGTTGCCTTCCTGCAGCTTCTCAAAAGCCAGTTTTCCCAGAGACTCGATCATCTTCCTGCTCTTTCGACTCCAATGTGGATCTGTCTCAGCTCCTCCATCATACTTGATGTTCTTTACTTTGGCCTGAACCACCAGGAAGTGGATGTACATCTCAGTCAGGGTCTTGGGCAGCTCTCCTCCCTCTTTGGTTTTCAACATGTCCTCGAGAACTGTAGCAGAGATCCAGCAGAAGACTGGGATGTGGCACATGATGTGGAGGCTTCGTGATGTCTTAATGTGGGAGATGATTGTTGCTGCCTGCTCCTTATCTGTGAATCTCTTCCTGAAATACTCCTCCTTCTGTGGGTCAGTGAACCCTCGGACCTCTGTCACCATGTCCACACACTCAGGAGGGATCTGATTGGCTGCTGCAGGTCGTGTGGTTATCCAGAGACGAGCAGAGGGAAGCAGATTCCCCCTAATGAGGTTTGTCAGCAGCACATCCACTGAAGTGGACTCTGTTACATCAGTCAGGACCTCAGTGTTGTGGAAGTCCAGAGGAAGTCGACACTCATCCAGACCGTCAAAGATGAACACAACCGGGAACAGATCAAACCTGTGCATTCCTGCGTCTTCGGTTTCAGTAAAGAAGTGATTAACGAGTTCCACCCAGCTGTACTTTTTCTCTTTCAGCACATTCAGCTCTTTGAAAGTGAATGGAAATGTGAACTGTATGTCCTGGTTAGCTTTGCCTTCAGCCCAGTCCAGAGTGAACTTCTGTGTTAAGACTGTTTTCCCAATGCCAGCCACTCCCTTTGTCATCACTGTTCTGATCGGTGCATCTCTTCCAGGTGAGGGTTTAAAGATGTCTTCTTGTCTGATTGTTTTTTCAGGTCTGTCTGGTTTCCTGGATGCTTTTTCAATCTGTCTGACCTCATGTTCATCATTGACCTCTGCAGTCCCCCCCTCTGTGATGTAGAGCTCTGTGTAGATCTGATTCAGAAGGGTTGGGTTTCCTGCTTTAGCAATGCCCTCAAACACACACTGGAACTTCTTCTGCAGTTTAGATTTAAGTTTGTGCTGACAGACTTGAACGATAATTCCTTAGTGAACACAAAACAAAGCAAAAGAAAATATTAAATGTCCTCAAAGGATGAGTATCTGGATATATTTTGGTACATCTTTTGAGTCGTTTTATGAACATCATATATATCCAGCATATCAAATCTTAACAGAAATACTCTCACTTCTCTGCAGACACTCAGCCAGCTCCTCCTGCTTCATTCTCCTCAGGAAGTGCAGTGTGATCTTCAGAAATGCCTCTCTGCTGCTCCTCCTCTGCTCTTCGTCCTCACCATCCAACACCTCCTCATCCTCACTCTGACTCTCTAAGCTTTCGGGGTGATCTGAACTCAGAGCCTTCTGGATCTTCTTAAGCTCTTTCTTCATAAAAGTGACAATGTTCTCCTCCAGCAGCTGGTACAGAATATTAAATAAAAAACACAATTAAAGTGGACCTATCATGCTATATTTAAATGATATATTGTAGGGCCATACCTATATAAAGTATATTTCTGTTTTCAAAATACCAAACAGATCATGCATTTTAGCCATGCCTCATTTCGCTCTATGTGCTGTTTGCTGTCTACGGTCTGATTCTGCTGACCACGCCCCCCTGCAGGAGAGGTGAGCCGTGCTCTGATCAGCTGCTGGGCTGTCAGAAGGGGGAGAAAAAGAGATCTCCGTCCTCCGTGTTTTATTATATAGACTCGTTATTCATTTGTTTTAAAGCTCAATAAATAACAAAGAAGACCTTTGACCGGCACTTTTCTAATTTTGTCCGGAAGATTTAAACTTTAACGGACATCTTGACCGGCGAAAGAAACTGAAACTGAAACTCTGCCGCACGGTCCCCTCGTTCCTTGGAAGAGGCGGAGAGGTGGGTGTTTGTCATCTGCTGGTGGACTAACCGGAGAGAATTACAGTGCTTGCCTCGACGGGGAGGGATTGCATTGAATTAAAGCAGCGGGAGCAAACGCTTGCCTCGGGGAGGGAGAAAAAAAGCCACAGCGGAGAATAAACAGAAGGGTAACCATGGTAACTATGGGCGGGAATTCTTCTTCGCTGCTTTTGTGGCAGACTACAGCGCCACTTACAGGCCTGGCATATGTACTACAGCGTCTCCAGCGCTTTCGAGCGGCAATGGCCGGCCGTGGCCCAACCCCACATTCCCCTGATAGGTGGAGAGTTGGCCCAATAGCCGTAGCGCCACTTCTGTGACGACATAGAAGTGTTCAAATCTGGATCAGTCTGTATCAGATCCGTTGCAGCCCCTTTTTTAGAGATTTGGGTATGGAGGAAAATAGAGAGGGTTGTGTTTTCTGACACTTGGTGAGTTCCCTGGAACACCGGGGACACATATTCATGTATAAAAGACGTACAAAAGTGCATTTTGCATGATAGGTCCCCTTTAAACTAAAATAACTGACATCTGATTAATGTTGTACAGATTGACAACTTGTCTAAAAGTGCATCAGAAGATGATTGCAGAAGCAGATGATTGTGAACAGAATATATGTAAAAGGAGCCATTGTACATTTACAGACCATAAATATAGAGTCCAGCTGTGTTTGATGCTGTTTGGAAGACTGACCAGTGGTAACCTCTGAGCTTTTATGGTCCACTCTGTGGAAAATCATGAAGAATAAACTCACAATATGTTTGCACCAAAGATTTTACACACAAAGACACATAGTTAGTTGAAAATTCAGTTTCATAACGGAAACCAGTTGAAAACAACAATGATGGACGACCAATCCCTGGATCAGAACAACAAGCCATCTGTTTAATGAACAGATACAACCAGCTGGGTACAGGCAACTTTTCCCTCTGCTGCTGAGAATTTATAGAAATGTACATTTACTGAAAATACAAGAGTTCTATCTGCGCTTTCACTGGTATTAATCGGCAGTGAACGTTTTTTTAATGGTCATTTATGAATTGGACCTGCACTGTGTTCAATGATTGCAACCTTCAACAATATACTCTTTTAAACTACTGACTATTCGCCAAACTGCATTCTACCACCACATTTCTGTAATTAGGACCAAATGATCTGCCACAGGTCCCCATACAACTTGCTCACAGAAAACTGAAGCTTGGAAACCTATCTCGGAAAGTAATCCCCAAACTCCTGCAGTAAGTTCCCAGGCTCTGCATCTGATCCATAGTATTCTGAAACTACTACACATTTCAATAAAAATTGATCAAATACATGGGAGCGAGTCCTCACACCTTAACTTGAAACGAAGATACAAACAACACTGCAAAAGAAGGATGAACAATTTGCATTTAAGGTATACTTACACTGGGTCATAAGAATGGCTCTCATCTTTGAAGTTAAGATATCGACCAAATGATTGATCACTCTTAATGGACAAACAACTGGGTACAGGCAACTTTTCCCTCTGCTGCTTGGAACTGAGAGACATACAGTAGAGACATTTAACGCAAATACAAAATGTTTATTTCTGCTTTTATTGTGCAGTCTTTGCATGTCTTTGAGACACATGCTTCTTACAATGTTTGTGCACACTTTGTTAAGCCCCAAGCCTGTGTTTCAGGTCTCAGGCTCGAAAATGACATTCCCAGAACACTTCACTTCTAAAAGGGGTAAATTAATAATCTTTTCTCACAAAGTAATGATAAACCTGTGAGTTGGATGTAGAAAAGTCAGAATCAATATAGATGTTTTTATTTTAAAGTAAATTCAGATTGAACATAGTAAAAAATGTAAATTATAGTTTCCGTCCAAAAAAACTCCATTTCTTATAGTGAAAACCCTTGAATGATGGGATTGTAGACAAACAGCTTTAGGAATCCAAACTATAACATATAATAAGTACCCTGTATCAAGATTAGACGCTTTCACACCGGAGTACTTTTCCCAGAAATAGTTCCGATAGTTCTTGGGATTTTGCGTTCACACCAAAAAGATCTGGAACTAGAACTTAGTTTTTGCGAACCTTTTCATCCCTTTTCAGTCCCTGCTAGAGAGGTGGTACTTTCCTGGGGAGAAAAAGGTTCCAATTTCTGATTGGCTGGGCGAATTGCAAACCACGCCCCATTAAACTCTGAAAAGTTTTGTGAAGCCGCCATTTTATTTGCTCGCATTAGCATTAGCATTAGCATTAGCACCAACGGAGAGAGACTAACTTATGGCAACACAAAATAAAACATGGGAGTGGTGGAGTGATGAGGAGGTGTCGGCGCTTCTGGCGATTTACTCGGAAGGCTTCAGTAGAAGCTGCTGGGAAGACTCCCAGCTTGCGGCCTGCCAGTAAACCCAAAGCAGAAGAAGAAGAAGTGACGTCAGCGGCTTCATTTGCGTAATCCTCCCTCAGGGACTTATTCCGGTGTGAACGCGATTTCTAAAACAGTTCCGGGACTAAAGAGTTCCGCGGGACTCAGTACTGGGAACTATTCCTGGGAAAAGTACTTGGTGTGAAAGCGCCTATTGATGCAAAACAAGTGGAATTTGACCTTTTTAGAGAGGTTTAGAAAAAAAAACCCCACCTCTGGGGTCATTTGGGTGTATTTGCCATATCTCTGGAACCCATCGGTGGGTAGATTTTGATGATTGACACCTCTTTTTAACCGTTAGAGCCAATATAATCGAGAGGGAGTTCCTAAATCCATCTAAACATTACCATTGGGGATGAGAGTGATGCTCAGCCAGCATGCCCAAAACCGGAAGCTCTCATACACTCTCGTAGCTCTCATAGCAGCTATATATGAAAACTACTCTTATTGACATAAATGTTATGATAGATTATCAGTAATCATTTCAAAGTGACACAGAGACATTGGTTTAACCTTCAGCAGCGTTTATCTGCGTTTTAATGCCATTGAACACAACTTTTGATCAGAAAACAGCAAAGGTAAGACGTATTTGCCGTTATGGCCACGTAAAGCTAAGTTGTGTGTTGTCTGGTTTTGCCTTCGCTGCCTTGGGTTTTGGTCGCTCAGTGATGATACTTATACCATTGTAATCTGTGGAATCTCAGCTTTCATATGATATCTTGTTTGTGCAGATCCGATGAAGTATACAATATTTCTACCGTGAGTTATGAGCACATTCTTTCGCTTAGTGCTAATTCAGACGCTTGGCGTTAGAGTTGTGTTTTGTTTCGGTAAAAATTGTTCATATCGTCAGTTAGCTGAGTTTCTTCCCGTTAAGTGGGTATGACACGTTAATAGGTTGTTAAATGTTAAGAAGACACAGTTTCGTGAAAAAAAAGCCTGTAGCTATGAGGCTTAACAGGTTAACTACGATACGCCTGTTTGGAAAGACAGATCTACAACAGTTAAAGATGATGTGGATTATCACGATTGGTCCTACTGAAAACAAGATGCAAACAACACTTTAAAAGAAGGATAAACAATTTGCATTTAACCTGTTAAACCCCATAGGCCCTGCCGGCGGGGGCTTTTCAAGAAATGTTCACGAAACTGTGTCTTAGGGCTTCTTAACATTTAACAACCAATTAATATGTCATACCCACTTAACGGGAAGACACTCAGCTAACTGACGATATGAACCATTTTGACCTAAATAAAACACAAGTCTAACGCCGAGCGTCTGAATTAGCACTAAACGAAAGAGTGCTAACGCATTTAGCACATAACTCACGGTAGCAATATTTTATACTTCATCGGATCTGCACAAGCTAGACATCATATGAAAGCTGAGATTCCATGATTCGAATGGTATAAGTATCATCACTGAGCGACCAAAACTCACGGCAGCGAAGGCAAGCAAAGACAACACACAACTTCACTTTACGGGGCCAAAACGGCAAATACGTCCTACCTTTGCTGTTTTCTGATCAAAAGTTGTGTTCAAGGGCATTAAAACGCATATAAACGCTGCTGAAGGTTAATCCAATGTCTCTGTGTCACTTTGAAATGATTACTGATAATCCATCATAACATTTATGTCAATAAACTTGAGTTTTCATATAGAATGTGTGAGAGCTTCCGGTTTTGGGCATGCTGGCTGCGCATCACTCTCATTCACCAATGGTAATGTTTAGATGGATTTAGGAACCCCCCCCCCCCCCCCCTCGATTCTATTGGCTCTAACGGTTAAAAAGAGGTGTCAATCATCAAAATCAACTGATGGGTTCCAGAGATATGGCAAATCCACCCAAATGACCCCAGAAGTGTTTTTTTTTCTAAACCTATCTAAAAAGGTCAAATTTCACTTGTTTTGCATCAATCTTGATACAGGGTACTTATTATATGTTATAGTTTGGATTCCTAACGCTTTTAGTCTACTATCCCATCATTCAAGGGTGGTTTTCACTATAAGTAATGGTTTTTTTTGGACGGAAACTATAATTTACATTTTTTTACTATGTTCAATCTGAATTTACTTTAAATTAAAAACATCTATATTGATTCTGACTTTTCTACATCCAACTCACAGGTTTATCATTGCTTTGAGAGAAAAGATTATTAATTTACTCCTTTTAGAAGTGAAGATTTAGGCCCAATCCCAAACCAAAGAGGGGAGTTTGTCCCAAAGCTTGCCGCTGTATTTACTCCCTCCATCTGACAGGAGGGAGCCTCGTTGAGCTGCGAGTGTTACTCCACTGAGTTCACTACGTCACGTAGGGGTAGTGTGTAGGGGTAGGGTGTAGGGGTAGTGTGTAGGGGTAGGGTGTAGGGGTAGGGTGTAGGGGGCGGTTTGGGATTGGGCCCTTGTCATTTGTTCTGGGCATGTCATTTTCGAGCACGAGGCCTGAAAAACAGGCTCAGGGCTTAACAGGTTAAGGTATACTTACACTGGGTCATAAGAATGGCTCTCATCTTTGAAGTTAATATATCGACCGAATGAATGATCACTCGTAATGGACAAACAACTGGGTACAGGCAACTTTTCCCTCTGCTGCTTGGAACTGAGAGACATACAGTAGAGATATTTAACGCAGATACAAAATGTTTATCTCTGCTTTTATTGTGCAGTCTTTGCATGTCTTTGAGACACATGCTTCTTACAATGGTTGTGCACACTTTGCTTTATATATGTAATACATCAATATATGTTAAAGACCAGTTATATTAAATGTATTTGTACTTACTTTGCAGCTGATACAATTTTTCTTTTGAAATCGTTGTCAAGCTCATGTGAATGGTCAGCCTTTAAGGACACATGGCTCGGCCTAGGTTTAGGTCCAGGTACAGGTTTAGGTCCAGGAACAGGTTTAGGTCCAGGTACAGGTTTAGGTCCAGGTACAGGTTTAGGTCCAGGTACAGGTTTAGGTCCAGGTACAGGTTTAGGTCCAGGTACAGGTCTAGGTCCATGTCGAGAGGATATTACAGATCCAGGTACTGGTCTAGATCCAGTTCCAAGTCCAGGTCTATGACGAGGTAAAGGTACAGGTCGAAGTACAGGTCCAGGTTCAGGTTCAGATTCAGGTCCAGGTCCAGGGGAGTCTGGTCCCTGATGGTTCCTAGCACACAGGGAAGAGAAACAACAGGTAGGGAATTCAGTTTTTAGTCTCCAGCCACGGTAGCTGTTGAAGAAACGTGCAGCAATCAACAAACAAATATCCAAACAACGCATTTTAACAAGAACTACATCGTGTGAAGAAAGTGCCGGTCAGTTGAAGATTATGATTTAACAAGCTGTAATTAAGATTTACGTTAGGATGAAATGATCAATTTAGGTTTGAACTATGACCAATAGAGGTCTCAATAAACACGAAATATGAGCCTTCATTACATAACTGAAGTATCAATGTCCAAACTGCGAACCTGTGTCAGAATCCAATCTAACGACTGTATCTATGAGCTCATTTCTGGATTAAATATGAGTCGATGTTCAAATGAAACAGCAAAGACAGTAACCGCCCAGTCAGAAAGAATATATTATTATAAAATGGTATGAAAGATAATGTGAAGTGTTGAGTATGTTACCTTTTCATGTTGCTGATGCAGTCACCTGAAGAAGACAGACGGGTTCATTATTACTCTTTACGCCTCAACAGGAATCTGTTTCTACATGAAGACTATGTCGTTTCAAATATTTGTTGTCAGATGAACTTTGTGCTGCAGATTCATTATCAAAGACAGGAGATGAAAACATGAACCAACAAAGAGCAGCTTGTTTGTCAGGAAACATTAGAGACTTGAATAAAAGTTCCACTTACTCTCATAAATGTCATCAGCGTCATTTTAAACGTCTCCACCCGGTCTGTAAAGAAAAACAGTTTTCGACTGATCTGAATGGGATTAAATCCTCTGGTTCTTCATCAGTCCTCGTGTGACTTGCTTTAATAAGTCCTGCAGCACGTACAGTACAAACTTCATATGACTTTATAATGGAGATGTTAAAGATTAACCCACAGCCGCTCCCTGCTGACACTCACACAACTGAGAACATAAAGCTCCTTATCACTGATAACACCAACACTTATTTCTGTCTCCAATGTGTCAAACTGTTTAATACATTATTTCATGTTGTGCTGTTTGATACTTTCGCTCATCTAAGAGGTACAGGTACTATTTACTTTACAAATGAAAGTCTCTGCACAGCCACACAGCTGTTTTTTAATCACTCTGCTCGACCTAGTCAGGTGGACGTTGGATGGAGCTGTGCTGGAAATGATGGGATGCCAACAAACTATCTGCACTAAGAGTTGGTATAACTGGAGTGGGTAATGAATAAAAAACCCTCTCAGATTTGTCTCTGATGTCTTAATTCATGTATTCAAGTTATGTCCTAGAAGCAGAACTCTTCACAACAGATGCTGAACTTTCAGTAACAGGCTGAAATGTTTAGCTCAGGGTTCATACACCTCTGATTCATTAACCTTTTAAAAGCACCTGCTGTAAGAACAAGAGGTGCTGTGACTTAGTTGGTCAAAGCGCCTGTCAGGAGATCCTGAGTTCAAATCCCAGCAGCACCTCAGTCACAATGGAAGTTAACACCTTTCAAACGAGGATAACCTTAAGAAGCCTTTTTAGACTTGAGAGTATCTTTTTTGTCGATTCTTACTACAGAGAATACCAGTATGCCGGTCTTAGTGGATGTCTCGCTCTGGGAAGGTTTTGAAATCCTCTGCTGCAAGAACAGGAGGTGCTGTGGCTTAGTCGGTCAAAGCGCCTGTCTAATAAACCTTAGATGCTGGCTTCAAATCCCAGCAGTGAAGATGCTTCTATAGATTATTCGCTGACGTTGAGATACGTCAAATTAATGTTCGTACAGACACAATGTAAAATAAAAAAACTCTAGACTTTATATTACTCATGATGTTATTGATTCATCCATTTTGATCAACTCTTCCCTCAAAGATTATCAATGTGTTGGTCTTTGTGAATGCTTTGCTCAAATACCATCAGTGCCTGGATGTTAAAGAGATTATCTCTTAAATTCAGATTGTAATGTTCATCCCTACCATCTCTGAAGTAAGGGTTAGGGTTAGGTGAATGATAAGGTAAGGTTAAGGATTATTAATACAGAGCCCAGGGGGACAAAAAGCAAGGATGTTTATTTTCCAGTTAGGAAAAACAGCTTCAGTGCAACACCAACATAACTATTAATTTCATCCTGCTTCTATACTTGTACTATTGGATCCTACATAAATATCTCTTTACAAACTTTATTTTTGTGCAGGAAGGAAGGGTGTTATTTCCTCTATTTCAGTATAACATTGAGATGAGATAAGTTGATATTCTGCTCATATTATCACTGTGAGCAAGATTTGAACCTGCGCGGGGAAACCCCATTGGATTTCAAATCCAACGCCTTAACCACTCGGCCATCACAGCTCATTTCATATAAATATATTAATAAGAAAGCACAGAAAATAAGTTTAATATAGGTTAAGATATCCAGAATCATTATACAAAGTAATAATTCAGCCCCTAGTTTTGCTGCTATAGGCTTAGACTGTCGGGGGACACCTTACTTCTTCCTTCTCTCTGGCTGTACCTGTGTACTCTCATGTTCCGAATAACCCAGCTTCCCCCAAATTTCTTTTTGGTGTCTATCTACGCCGGGATCCTGAGTCGTGATCTGAGTCCTGGATCCTGAGTCCTGGATCCTGAGTCCTGGATCCTGAGTCCTGGCTGATCCTGAGTCCTGATCTGAGTCCTGGATTTCGAGTCGTGGCTGAACCGGTCTCTGTGGTCCTGCCTGACTCTCTACTACTTCCCTGATGGCTCCCACAGGATTGTTGACATCCTCGTGGATTCATCTTCTTATTATAGACACATGCATTTCCAAACATTTGGTCTACCTACAGTATGTTGTAAATGTATTATCTCTTCAATTTACACACGGCATCTATTGCACGTCTGTCCGTCCTGGGAGAGGGATCCCTCCTCTGTTGCTCTCCCTGAGGTTTCTCCCATGTTTCCCTTTAAACTGTGGGGGTGTCTCTGGAAGTGTTTCCTTGTACGATGTGAGGGTCTAAGGACAGAGGGTGTCGTATTGTCATACTGATATTCTGTACAAACTGTGAAGTCCACTGAGACAAATGTAACATTTGTGATATTGGGCTATATAAATAAACATTGATTGATTGATTGATATTAACAATTATCTCCAACTTTACTGGCTGTGATAGACACAATAACGCATTAATAGTTATAATTAATTCCATTTCAATATATGATTTTGAAATGGGCCATTATGCATAACAAGTACTGGTTATATACTTGATATATTGACACAGAGAAACCCTCGGAAAGACACACGTTTTTAACAAAGTTTAATTCAAACAAACCACCAACTATTGATTCATTTTATTACTCCACTCTAAGCTGTGATCATTCTTTCTTGCATTATTGCATCTTGTAGGAAAAGGTTGTGTAGACATGTTTGACAGGAAGTTATGATAAGCAATGGAGTCTTTGTATTTGTATATCACGTACTTGTCCTATATATCATGACACACTGTTGAATCATTGTCCAGCTTTATTGCACATACATGTAAATGATGCATATTGTTCGGTAATACATAATATTTTATTCCATCGTTCCTTGTGCTTAAGTATCTGTATATTCCAATGAAAGCACATTTCACTGATGGTAGAGCACACAAAGCATCTTAAAGCATTTTATTTATTGATGTAAATAAGTTTACTTCCATATGATTGTCTTTAAGAAAATCTTACTTTGACCAACACATGATAAAATACATCACGCATACAAACGACCATTCAAAGCAGTGCTGGATGAAGCAAAAATAAAACAAACATAATACTGCACAGTTCTGAAACATAACTTAAAATAATACAGTCCTTCAATACCACGTGATTAAATCATTAAGATATAAACACAGGTCCTTCATACGCAGCTTTTTAACAACACAGGCCAAATAAGGATCACTTCTATTGTAAACCAACGCTGCCACAACACCACACAATGTCCCTTAAAACATCTCAGACATTAAATGCATCCTCACGTCACAAATGAAAAGTACCGTTCAGTGGTTCAAACAGAAACACACAGATGCAGATGTACATACTGTGAAGGCACATGTGGCTTTGGCAAAAAATCAAACACCTGCATTTCCCCGGATGATATTACGCAGCTGTGGCAAGAGGTCCATTTTAGTTTGGTTTCATGTCTGTCTTTGTATCGATGAGACTAAGACACTACTTTTCTAAGTATGTTGAAGCAATGGAGCTGCTTTATTGCTTCTGTTTACATCAGCAGGTGATCCAATCCAGCTGAACAAACATTCATACATAATTTAAGGCACAAAAAAGGTTTAATCCCTTAAGTAAGCAGCCTGGAGATACAATCCTGAACAGAATAAGGCACAAGGGAAACACTGGAACAGAAGAAGCCAACACAATGTAACAAGCCGATTGGTCGCACTATAAACCCTGCACTGTAACCATTGCACTCCATTGTTGGCAATAATATTACCATAACATGTTGTTTAGCTTAATCTAGTGCTGTCTGTGAAAACAGGCTGGGGAAGTCACTCATGCTACATGCAAAATGTTGGTTTGTTTGTCAAGTAAGAAATCTGTAGCTGGTTTGTAAAATATAATATCTAACGAGCAATTTACTGACTGTAACACTGAGAGGATGAAAAGTGAGTTAATGGAATAAAAGTGAGGGTTAGTGAACCTACTGCTGATCATACGTGATCTATCAAACGGAAAACAAAGGTCTAGCATGGTTGTAAAACATATTTACTGAATGCTTAACGACTTTTTATTTCTACCTGAACACAGAGTACCGGAGTATTACCAGGCTTTGGTCTTTGACTGTTTTTATTTTGCTACAGAGGCACATGATGCAAACTCCACATTGTGAGTGTGTCCTGTTACTTGGTCCCCCGTACTTCAGGTCCATTTCACATGTTGCAGTCCACAAATGAAACCACATGCCGCAGGTAAAAAGCACAATGAGCGCAACACAGAGGGAGAGGAGGACAGTGAGAGAAGCAGAGAAAGTTGTTCCAGGGCTGTTTGGATGCTACGTCTTCTTCACCTGGGTATAGGAGGAAGAGGGGGGGCTCCTCTCTCCTTTTTACCAGAACCTGGAGAGAGCAAAGACACAGAGGAGTTAGTATGATAACTTCCCATAGGAGATGTAACTTTCTTCCACTAGGTGGCACTGTGTCACAGTCCAACTGGGCTGTAGCTAACTTTACTCTAGGAGACTGGGGCAGGAATGAGTCCAAAAACCCTCATTCAGGATTTACTCCTCCTGGTTTCTAACAAAAATACGTCATCACGGCACCACTCTATTCTATTTCATATAATTTAACCTGCATATTAAGATTGTGTAGTGATCTCTCAGGAGTGAGTGAATTATGAAGCTGTAGTTGAAATGGTTTTCCTGTTGAACCCCAACAATTGTGTAGGGTTGTTTTAGTGAGAGTGTGTGTGGTGTGTGTGTGTGTGTGTGTGTGTGTGTGTGTGTGTGTGTGTGTGTGTGTGTGTGTGTGTGTGTGTGTGTGTGTGTGTGTGTGTGTGTGTGTGTGTGTGTGTGTGTGTGTGTGTGTGTGTGTGTGTGTGTGTGTCAGACTGACCTCTGTTGTCGGACTTGCCGATCTTGCTGGGGTAAGTCTTCTGGAAGTGCACGTATGGCTGCGGCGGAGGTAGGTCCGACACCGGATGGAAATTGAACCGACTCTCCCACTCATCTGTTTTAGAGAGAAAATGGAGGATCAGTGGGTTTGTATGTATAACACTCGCAACACTACCCCGATACAATACTAGGCACATCAGGTTTTCAGGATTAGACATTATTCTTCTGATTTCACACAATGCAAATAGAGAAAGATAGATAGATAAATGATAACCTTACTTATGACACCTTATTCATCCCAATTTTAAAAAGCACAGATTATGTTAAATAAGAAATAATCAAACTGTTGTTTTAAAATCAGGAAATATCACATAAAACTGAAAGGTAAGCAACTTGCAAAGCAGATTTCACACTCAGCACCTTTGGATTTAGTTTGATATCTAGTGTAAGAGTATTTGCGTCCAAATACTTCTTCTGAGTCAGAGAATATTGTGTCTTCAGGAAATATGATTACACATTATTTTGTGGAGCAGGTCCTTTTGGACCCTCTGACAGCTCTTTTCCCTCCTGCCGTCCAAACTAACTTACTTTGAGGTTCAATGGGATAAAAACAACACTAACAGGGGTGAGTGGGTTCCTCTGCCATGACTGAACACAGTGGAAATCATGTGGTAAAAACAACATGAGGGAGACGGATCTCTCATAGAGAGACTGGGAGAGTTCAGAGCTGGAGAAATCCACTACAAGGCAAAGAGTTTATTATCTACCTGCAAATGTACTACTGGCACACATTGATTTATAACTCTATATATACAGTTTCACTTGTCTATCTTACATTGTACTGGGGAAATACAGAAAGAAGAAGAAGACATTTATTTATCCCTCAAGGGGAAATTCAGTTTTAATTCTGTTAACATACAGTACAAATACACACATGTAAACAGGTCCCATACACATTAGGCCCGACATACACACGTGCACAAACCCGACATACACACGTGCACAAACCCGACATACACACGTGCACAAAACCGACATACACACGTGCACAAACCCGACATACAAATGTGCACAAACCCGACATACACACGTGCACAAACCCAAGATACACACGTGCACAAACCAAACATACACACGTGCAAAGACCCAACATACACACGTGCACAGACCCAACATACACACGTGCACAGACCCAACATACACACGTGCACAAACCCAACATACGCACATGCACAAACCCAACATACACACGTGCACAAACCCAACATACACACGTGCACAAACCCAACATACACACGTGCACAAACCCAACATACACACGTGCACAAACCCAACATACACACATGCACAAACCCAACATACACACATGCCCAAAAATACAGCTGGGGGTTCAGTGTCTTGCTTGAGGACCACCAGGAAGTGAACTGGCATCTTTCAAGCCACTAACAATACATTTGTTGGTCCAAACTGGGACTCAAACCAGCGACCAGTGATGAACTGAGCTGCTAAACTACTGCTTTCCCTTAGAATCACATCATAGTAGTACCTGAAGGGTTAACTCACCCTGTATCTGGTTGTGATATCCGTTGCCCATGGGGGGGGGAGGAGGAGGAGCCCCCCCTGCACCGGGCCTGTCCGGTGGGAGGGGGGGTCTACCTCCAGGTCCTGGGCTGGGCCGACCAATAGGAGAAGGAGCTGGTGATGACCTCACACTGCCCCCCCCCACACCACGACCTGAGGGAGGAGGGGGAGGAAGAGGACCTGTGGAGGTAGAAAATAAAAAGACCACGTTAAAAAATTATAGTCTTGTGGTCACAACATTTCTTATGACAAAACTCAGTTAGCAACAGCCCGTATTGGGTCTGGTTACACACCAAAAACTATTGTTCAGATTTCATTACATTCAAATAATTCAAATGAGCCCAGTTTAGACTCTTGATGTGGGAAACTGAGTATTTGTGACAGTGTACTTGTGAAGCACAGGCTTGAACGTGAAGAGTGGCATTCCTTTGTGATTCTGAATATAATTTGATTACACCATTATCGGGACTGTATTTAAAACTTTCTTCATATTCTTCAACATTACATTTAAGGCTGTTCACCTGTGCGTGATGAGGATGGGTTCCTCCCAAGAGCTGGGGGTCTCTCGTTGGGTGGAGGAGGCAGAGGACCTGCCCGGGCATGGGCTGGAACTGGAGCTTGGCTGCCAACGAGAAACAACATTATTATTTGTGAATTTCTGATTTGATTGGCCAACTGCTTAGAGATGTCCCTCCCCTAAGCCTATCACGATTTTAGCCTTTGCACAGAAACCTATAACGCACTACAGGAGGGAAACCCCCCAAACCCTAATAGGGCCCTTTAATACATAATTATGTGTAATTATCAAGACAAAAACTAATTTCCAAACAATTTAAGATTTAAAACTGTTTTGTTTAGAAGCTACAAGAAGATATTTGCATGATGTTTGAACAGAACAGCTGTTTGATTGTAATCTATGCAAACTGCAACTGATACCAAAGTAGATTTGGCTTTCATGAACATTCAGCATCTGATGCATGATACTGTACGATAATAATACTGTTATGATTGGCTGTGAATAAGAAAATATGAAGGACAGACCATCTATTTATTTTTTTAGAAAGGGTACAGTATATATAAGATTATTTTCTTCTCCCTGCTCCTTTTCGGGTACGGTGTGTTTATAGAGACATGTTTTGTAAATAATTGTTAAACATTAAAGGGGACCTATCATGCAAAATGCACTTTTGTACGTCTTTTATACATGAATATGTGTCCCCGGTGTTCCAGGGAACTCACCAAGAGTCAGAAAACACAACCCTCTCTATTTTCCTCCATACCCAAATCTCTAAAAAAGGGGCTGCAACGGATCTGATAAAAACTGATCCAGATTTGAACACTGTCCTGACGTCAGGACAGTGGCGCTACGGCTATTGGGCCAACTCCACCAATCAGGAGGAGACAGCCACGGCCATTGCCGTTCGAAAGCGCTGGAGACGCTGTAGTACATATGCCAGGCCTGTAGGTGGTGCTGTTCTCACAGAATCTGCCCTTGCTAAAACAGAGCTAAAAAAGTACAAATTGAGCGAAATGAGCATGGCTAAAATGCATGATCTGTTTGGTATTTTGAAAAAAAAAAGTATAAATATGCCTTATATAGGTATGGTCCTACACTATATTATTCAAATATAGCATGATAGGACCACTTTAAGTTGTGCATACCATGTACGGAACAAATAAAAATGAAATGATGGGAAATGCTGTCCACTAACATTTAACAACAAGCAGAAACCTATAATCCTTTACCTGTTGAGTGACATGTTTCTTTGGGGCAGGCGAGGCGTGTTGTGGTCGTCCCCTCCAGCCGGCGAGGGGGGGAGAGGGGGGGGTCCCGGTCGTCCCGGAGGAAGAGAGGGGCACCCCCACCGACTGAGGGCCGAGAGGAGGAGGAGAACGGAGGAGGAGGGAGGTTTGGAGTTGAGGGAGGGAGGAGGAGGCGGGAAATCACGGGGCATCGACGGCCTGTGACCCCCCGCGGGAGCTGGGGGGGGAGGGGGTCTATCGTCAGGGGAGAGGAGGCCTCCCTCCAGGGGTCGGAGGGTAACGTGGGTCTGCTGCTGCTGCTGCTGTTTCGGGGGCGGAGGAGAGGGGCGGAGAACCCTTGTCTCGACCCAGACGAGGGGCCGCCTGGTGGGGGGGGGGGGAGAGGGCCGTGCCTCCCTGGTGGGACGCTCGGAAGCGGGGGTCCGGAGGTGGGTCGGGGTCCTGCAGGGAGGGAGGGGGGGAGACGGGCCCCGCGAGAGTGGAAGTTCTGGGCTGGGTCGAGGTATTGTGTGGGTACGGGAGGGGGGGGCCGCCCGGAGTGTCCTGTCTGGAGGAGAAACTCGGTCGGCCCTTTGGAAGATCAGGGACGCTGTTACGGGCGCTAGAAGGGGCTGCTGGGAGTTTGGGCGGGACGATGGAGCCCCCACCCCCCCCCACCACCGAAGGGACTGGGACCACCAGAGCGGCCTCCAGGTGGGAGCATGGGTCCTCTGCTGGGGGCTGAGTCTGGACAAAGAGAACATCAAATCAAACAAAAAAAATGTACTCTTTTGCTCAAGTACTAAGTTCAATAAGGTATGGGGACCATTCCTAAAACACTTTAAGAAGCTTAAGTCATGATGATGGTGTACTATTTCTGACTGTACTGTCTATTATTATTATTATTTGTAGTATTATTATTATCATTATTATAATTTCTAGTATTATTATTAACACTACTACTGTTATTTGTGTTTATGTATTTTATTTTTGTTTCCTTTTCCATTACTCTGTCTATGGTCCTAGACTTCCAGCTACTGTCTCTTCTGTTTTTTGTTTTGTACTCCAGGGATGTCATATCCTTGCACATACTGTTCAGGTCTGTTTGGGAAGGGGGAAGACGTGTAAATGTGTAATGTGTTGATGTTTGTTGTTGTCTTTAAAAAATACAAGACTGAAGACTGCAGTAGCTTCTCTGGTGACTTCGATTTCTGATTCAGAAGCATGAGAAATGAAGATCCAATATTTCACCTTCTACAGAAAAAAATTGCGCTGCCTTGCACTTATTGATCGTGGGTCTTTTGTCCACAGACAGTCTGGTTTCACACAATGCTCGACTGGTAGCAGCATGTGTTCTTTTGTCAGTCAGTATTTAACGTCAACATGGTGCATGGGTGTTGTGGGTAACACAACAGACACTTTGGACATATTTAAGTGGCCAATTTGATTAGCATCACATTATAAAAAAAACAACATGGCATCCATAGCATTTCTTTCACTCGTATTTGACGTTTGACACTTAGAAAATCAGATTTGAGTAGCCACAACTGTCCTGATTTTCTCAAATGAATCTGGACACAATCTAAAAAATATTTAATAAAACAGAGTTGGGCTATCAGACTGAATGAGAGGTGTTATTAGAAGTTTTCTGTGTTTTTGACCATTATGAATCCATCGGCTAAACCTGCTCATCCTCGAGGTTCAGAGTGAGGTAAAGGCCTTAATCCCAGCTATATAAATTATCTCTCACTTACGGGCAATTTCTAGATAATTTACGACCATGGGAGGAACCTTTGAGTCCCTGGTAGAAACACATATGCACTGGAAGAACATGCAAACTTGAATGAATGAAATAATATATATTTTACCATTTCTACTACCGCCTCCTGCAGACCTCAGTTTGGGCATCCCTCCTGCAAACATGCCTCCTAAGGCAGGAGACCCTCCTCCTCCTCCACCACCTCCTCCACCTCCTCCTCCACCTCCTCCTCCACCTCCTCCACCTCCTCCTCCTTTGGGTTCTAGGGGAAAGAAAATAATGAATTGGTCATTTAAGGCAAGGCAAGGCAAGTTTATTTATATAGCACCTTTCAGCACACGGCAATTCAAAGTGCTTTACAAAATAAAATAAAATATATTTAAGAAGAAATACAGCAGAAACACATTATAAAATGGCATTTAAAAAGCAAAGATAATAAAATAAACACAACAGGTATAGAATACATGAATAAAAGACATACAGTACTGCAGTGTAAATATGAACAGCTCAATCAAAAGCAGCGACAAAAAGATACGTTTTCAGTCTGGATTTAAAAGTAGTGAGAGTTGCAGCGGACCTGCAGGATTCAGGGAGTTTGTTCCTGATGGTCGGGGCGTAGCTAAACGCTGCTTCTCCATGTTTAGTTCTGACTCTTGGAACAGAGAGCAGACCCGTCCCAGAAGACCTTTTCATTTAAGGGATATTATTACTATTTTCTATGTGGGTTTTTAGGCACAATAATCACTGAGTCTCATCTCTCTCTATGTATCTTACAGTGCAACTTTATCTAAACTAAAACAATTATTTAGAAACCACATCCTGAATGGTTCTGAGCAGGACCTGTGAAGTGATGCTTGCTATTTCTTGTCGTTGTAAAAGTTATTTGTCTTTGGTTGTTTTGTACAAAGAAATGATTTGTTTAAAACAATGACTCAAATATCACGGATGATGATGACGATGTCCTAATCTTTCATTTTCATGAACAATGTACGCTAGAGGGGGACCAGAACAGTTTTTAAGCTTCTTCTTGCCCCTTTTGAACATGACGGAAACTATTTGATAATTTATTTTTGTATACCTTGAACGTCTTTTTATTTAGCTTGTAATTTGTTATAATTATTATTGTTTGTTTTGCTTCTAACATATTCAATCAATTGACTAATAAAAACAAATCGTATTATTTAGTTTAAGCAGGTTAGTGTTGTCTGTTACGGCCCGTCCACACGGCGGCATGCGTTGAAGCTTCAACGCTTCTGCCCATTCACTTTGAATGGGGTGACGTCACGTTTCGCCGAACTGCATTGTGGGAGCGAAGCGTAGCTTCAGAAGCGTTGCTCGCTGCAAAAGTTGAGCAATGTTCAACTTTTGAAGCTTCGGCGGAAGCGTCAGCCAATCGAATCATATGCCAGTACCAATGTCTTGACCTCTCCTATAGTATGCATTGCCATGAAGGAATGAATGGATGAATGAATGAATGAATGAATGATTAAATGGATGAATGTTCTATATTATTTTAAATGACTGATTGAACCACAGCAGTATTATTTTAAATATGTTATATGTTTAACTGCTATGCCTGTCATCTCTGCTCTGCGTCATTGTGTTGTCTCCTGGGTTCTGTAGTGCCCGGAGTCTGTCTTTTTATTTTCTTTCTCCCAAACCCCTTCCCCTCAGGACGCCTTTTGCCTCCTGTCAGGTCATCATTGAAAATAAGAATTTGTTCTTAATTGATTTTCCTGGCTAAATAAAGGTTCTACTACTACTACTACTACAAGCTCTAGCCAATCAAACCGCGTGCTTGTGTGTCCGGGGCGGGAGATTCATGTGATTGGTTGTTGGTCGAGTTTCAGCCCCCCCCCGCCGGCAAGCTTCAACGCACGCCGCCGTGTGGACGGGCCGTTAATGTGACCAAGCTGTCTTCAAACCACCTTTCCTCCCTTAGGACAGTAAGGGTAATGATGCTTAGAAAGATGTCCTGACTTACGATCCAGTGTGGGTCCGCTGCGGTCATTGGTGACGGTTTTCTTTAATCTGGAGCCTTTAGAGATGTCACCCAACAGAGCGTTCCTTCCACTCTGCGCTGAGCGGTTGAGAGTTGGCTTGTCTGTGTTGGCCTGAAACACAAACACACACATGCAGTCACTGAGAGAGGAGACACACACACACATAAGGAGGGCAAACAACGTATCAATGTTATCGAAATTGCATTAAGGAAACCTGGAAAAACTCTCTTCAATACTTGACACAAGTGGCATCATTAGATTCGATAGATTATTTCGTTTTATACGAGTTCAGAATGTTCACCCCACCTTAAGAAATGGGTCAGCTACAGCATTTTGAAAAGAGTCATGTCAAGCTGTGTGCAATTGAGCAATGACCAAGAATGCCCAATTTTGTAGCCGTCTTTCGCTCAGATTTCCTAGTTTAACGTAATTTCTGGAACCTTTTTCACAATTTTTACTATTTTGGAACGTCTTTTAGGGATGTTCCCGACAAGCTATTGAGACATGCTTGGTGTCAATGGATTCGTCGGATCTTCTACATACATAAGTCAAAATACCAAACATAAAGCAACTAAGCAGAGAAGCAGAGAAGTCCCTGCTTACAAACTGTATTCTGCAGAGTAAAATTAATCAAATGTTTTGTACAGATCAATTGAATATATTTTTCAATGATCCTATAAATAATGTTTCATACCCTGAATATATCTAATAAAGAGATGCTCCTAGTACTAGTTAAATGCAGAGGTCAAATGTCACTGTGTGTGCTGTGTGCATGTATCTGTGACAAGTAAAGAGGGTTTCATCCTCCAATTCTATCTATCTATGATGGAGTTAGCGTTCTGTATCACACAGAGCAAACTGGAGACGACGTGTTATGACGAGATTTATCCACAAGATGTCTCTGCTGTTCGGCTCAGGAGGGACAGCAGAGTTTACTGAGCTGAGAGACAAACAGATAACATGACTTACTACTGCAAAGGTGGGCGGGGGGGGAGGCCCCGGGGGTGGGGGGGGGAGGGGGTGGCATCTTCCTGGCTCCACTTTAGGCTGTCTGCACGGGGCGCTGCACCCTGGAAGACACATCACACACACATCACACACACTTTAATCAAATAGAGCAATATGGATTATTATTGGACGATGTTATGCAGATGCAGTGCTTTCCAAGTGTACCGTTACCTATACACACGTACAGTATATAACGTGTTGTGATGTAATAAAGTACAGTTAATCAGGTACTGTACTTCTCGAATACAATTCTGAGGCACTTATACTTGTATTTTCGTTTTACATTATACTTTTGAATGCTGGACTTTTATTTAAAACAGAGTCTTTTTACAATTAAGTATGCTACAGATTACTTAAAAGAAAAATATGAGTACTTCTTCCACCATTGAGTACATAAACACAAAATAATCTCCTGCTGTCAGTGTGCAGATCACTTTGAGTTATTAGTTACAATGTAACTTCTCTAAATGAACCTCAGTGACACTTTATTTGCCGCTATGCTTGGACTGCTGCCCCTCTACATATCCACTTACATATCACACAAACAGTACAGCTATAGCCTACGATCTCAACATTACATCACTCTGTCCGTCCCCTCAGTACGCACGGTGCTTGGAAAAAAAGCCATATCATACTCTGCCCCCTCGACCTGGAACACACTTCAGCAGGAACTTAAGCTGACCAGTTTGATACCCATCACGGATTTTAAACTAATTTAAAAAAAGCTGGAGAAATCATCTGTGGGTGTTTGCACTGCTTTACCTGACTACTGTATATGGATTTCAATGACTACTTTTTTTACGATGTTGTATTTTATTGTTGCCTCTGTGTTTAGTGTCCTGTCTGTAACTTTGTGTGGTAGTGTTACCACTGACAGGTCTCTCTTGGAAATGAGACCTTGTGTCTCAATGAGATTTTACACCTGTATAAATAAAGGCTAAATAAAAATTTAAATTTAAATTTGCACAACACAATTCGATGTTGTGGCTTTTTAGACACAGGTATAGAGGAGTACTTCTTCCTTCATTGAGTCAAACACAAAACAAAAAATAATCTCATGCTGTTTATTGTGGAGCTCATATTTAGTTAAAAGCACTCCATTTGAGTGCTTTAGTGCTTCAGGTGCATTTCCTCTAACGGCAACTACGTGCAACAATTCATTACATGTTGTCCGCAGCAGTCAGCCGTCAAAAGAGTTATTCTCACTTCCCTAAATGTGTCTCGGTGAAACTTATGACAATGCATTTGCACAATCAATATCAATGTTGTTGCTTTTTAGCTCATGTATAGAGGAAGAAGAGACAGTACACCTGAGGAAACACAAGGTTCAGATAAGAGAAGAGAAAGAGGAGACCATCCCTCTGTTGAAAATGTAGTTTGATTTTGTGGTGCTGAAATTCATTATTGGTATAAATGTGAATAAAACACCAGTTGTTGAAAATAGTTGCTCCTTGTTGAAGATATTGCAGGGTGTGTTCGCAATACAGTACAACAACAGAGGGACTAGGAGCGCACAGACTATATTTAAAAGCTTCAAACATGGGATGGACAACAACATTAATAACTCCAACAAGCTCTGCTAATAGTGAGCTCACAGGAAATGACAAGACTTACAATAAAAGCTAACAGGAACTGGAGGTTTGAGTTCCTTAAAACTGAAAACAAGCTGTGTACCTGGAGTTTAGATTTGAAAGACAGAAGCTATGAGAACAATAATTGTGTGTTATATGCAAAACAAGACAGATGCTGGGATGCCTTTTCTTTGTCCATACCCCTGGGAATAAGTGCAATCAACAACTTGAAAAAAAAAAACGATCATACAACAGAGAAGACGCAGTTTGATTTAAAGCCATTTTTAGTTTTAGTGCCACTGTCATGAAAGTAATAAGGGTGTAGGCACAGAATTCACTTTTCAAAAATAGTGCATCTTCAATCACAGTCAACTTTCTCATTGTTTATACAAGTTAGGCTTACATTTTTAACAAGCTAAAAAGAGTGACTGAGTCGATGCAAAGCAACAGAGACATCCCTAACGTCCAGGAGTGCAACGTGCATGCAAAGAAACAAATGCAGCAGCAGGTTTCTGATATGACTGTTTCTGTGTATAATCTCAACCATTACTGTTCCTTATTTACCTTTCATTTAATGCAGTTTATTTTTTTTTTACAATAGATGATGATAAACTGGAGATCAAATAAAGTGGCAATAATAAAAAGTAAGATAAGGAGAGGCCTTCAGGGTCTTTCTTGAACACCGTCAGTAAAAAAAACGATATGCATGCAAATAACAGATTAAACATTAGTAATAAAAACAACGACCTGCATTTAACGACCCAAAAGCAGTCTACTTATCCTCGCTACTGAGCGAAGAAGAGTCAGATACAGCTCTTCCTCAACTTAAAGGTGGGGTAGGTAAGTTTGAGAAACCGGCTCGAGATACACTTTTTGTTATATTCCATGGAATGCTCTTAACATCCCGATAGCAATGAATATCTGAAGTGCTTTGACAAAAAATCCATAAAAAAATATCATCTGTGGAAGCCGTGGCGCTGTAAAAAGCACGACCAATCATCTGAGCCGGCCCGGCTAAAGTAACTGGATGGCCTACCTGCCTGTCAGCCTTCCATCTGTGCACAAACTTATCTCGTGCCCTCATTGGTCATGTGCGCGTTCGTGTGTGTTGGAGGAGGGGCTCTGTAAGGAAGTGGCAGATTTTTTCCGGCTGTGTATTTTCAAATTCTAGCGCACTCGAGCCGGTTTCTCAAACTTACCTACCCCACCTTTAACTGCAGCTTTTTAGGTATTTTTCACCACCCTCATTCATTAAATAGAAGGGTTAAGGACCGAAAGCAATGAATGCAACAGAGAAATACACAAACATGTCAGCATACTTGCGATAAACGATGCACACTGTTCATTGATAATCATGAAACGTGAACCTGTCATTCACAATTCTTTCAAACACCTGCAGTTTCACAGGATCAGCATCGAACATGACTCTAACGTGTTTCTATCTGAGGACAAGAACTAACTGTACATAGATCACAAGATAATATAAGAAGCACATGGCAGTGTCGCTCCTACACACTGAAAGAAGCCTGTTGCTAGGCCTCTCACTTCATTTTAAGTCACACACACACACACACGCACACACACACACACACAGTCAGACCGTCCTCCAGAGGCCTGCTACTTCCTGTATGCTGCTGACAAACAGGAAGTCACCACGCGGCTCCAGCACCGCAGTCATCCGGCTGATGATACCTCTACGTCTTCACTGTGCATCATTTTAACATTTTCCGCCTCTTTCAACCATGCTGTCTCTTTCTCCTTCATACTGGACTTCTTTATCCCCATGATTTCTCTTCTGCATGCCTTCTGCATTCATATATGTACTCATGTAGTCTTTATGTTCATCCTTGCATCCCCTCTGGAAGTCTCACCCAGTGACCTTTGCTTATCATCTGATCTCGATGGTTTGTCACCTTTAACGTCTCAAACTGAAAACTGATTTTGAGATTCTGCCTCTCACCTCTCTGTTCCGCTGTGAACCACGAAGTATTTCCTGTAGCAAACAAACAGAACAACTGAACACAATAATCCTTGAATGTAAAGAGCTCACACACTGCACTTCCTCATATATTGCATTGCTATAAGTTGCATTATTTATTAATGACTCCCGGTACCGGTAGACTAAGAGCACCTCTTCCACTGGCCCCTCCTCTTGCATGACACCAACACTTTAGAGGTCAAATCAAGCCTGAACATCCAAATCAAACCCAGTCCTTTACACTTTTTATTTAACGCCGAAACTAATGTAACTTAAAGGTGGGGTAGGTAAGTTTGAGAAACCGGCTCGAGTGCGCTAGAATTTGAAAATACGCAACCGGAAAAAATCTGCCACTTCCTTACAGAGCCCCTCCTCCAACACACACGAACGCGCACATGACCAATGAGGGCACGAGATAAGTTTGTGCACAGATGGAAGGCTGACGGGCAGGTAGGCCATCCAGTTATTTTAGCCGGGCCGGCTCAGATGATTGGTCGTGCTTTTTACAGCGCCACGGCTTCCACAGATGACATTTTTTTTAATGTATTTATTGTCAAAGCATTTAATGTATTCATTGCTATCGGGATGTTAAGAGCATTCCATGGAATATAACAAGTGTTTCTGAAGTGAATTACATACCCCACCTTTAAAGGGGCCCATGTCTTGTATTTTGTGCCACATTAACATTAGGAACATTTACCAGTGATATCCAAAGTAAAGTGTTTGGATTTAAAGTAATTATATCAGCTCTAGTTAGTTATAATTGTCTTCCAACAGAGGTCGGTCCCTGTAGATTATAATGTGTGGAGATGGCCCCATGAGGGTGAAATATAATGAATCCCAGTGATCACGTCCTGAGTTCACCCCCAGCTGCACAGCAAGGTTGCAATAAAAGATGGTAAACAATATACCTGCTGAACTTAGCATGTTAGCATCTTATTACATCATGTTGTCAAGTTATAAGTAGCATTAAGCTCACAGGGCAACCAGCAAAGCCTTAAATTGGATTATAGAAGGTGTCAATATTATATTTTTTAAGTGTAAGTCAAAAGAATATATGAATATGAAGTAGATTTCACGACGAAAACACCATTATATCAGCTTATTAAATCAGCTTTGGCCTAAAAAGAGTACTATGTGATTTCTGATGAATATCAACATAAATACTAATTCATCCCTGATACAGAATGGCCCACATTATAATGATTCATGGGCCAGTGAAGGTCTTAGTAAACATAAGCTGTTTACATTCAGCATCAATATGACCATCAGTTATTTCCTAATATAGACCTTGATGGAAGAAAGCCACGGAAAGTAATCTAAACACTGAGTGAGAGCCAGTAAACAGGACAACATGCGTCAGTATTAAAGCTTATACAGTACATGCTCTACTTATAATGGAGGCTGTGAAATTGTATGATGTCTGCATGATATTATAATTCGAATAAACAAAAGCATACTCCATGGGATATGATGTTATATTTCTGCAGACTATTAAATGTTTGATGCTTGA